CCATTTTTTAGAGATTCTAAAATCATTATAAGGCAATATGGGTCTATTTTTAAATATGGTTAAATTTACGCAAACTTAAAAGTAAGGTTGTTTCGATTTGAATCATCTAAAGAGAATAATATTCTTTTTATCAATCAGACAACTCCTTAAGTTATTTGGGTGATTACAACGTAACATTTGTTTGAAAGACTCTAAACTATTTAACGATAAATGTTGTGCTCAAATCCAAAATCTCTAGGAAAAACAACAACCCTTTTAACAACCGAGGATGTTTAATTTGTGCCTTTAGAAAAATAAGAAAGGGGACATTTTAACTGGGTTTGAAAATCTTGCATTTAAAAGTTGGGGGTTTGGCCATTTATACTCTCTTCAAGATGCTAATGGTTTTTCTGTGGTAAACTATAAGGGCATTTTTGTTTCATTATAATTGTTTTTTTTTTTGGAAAATAAAGTATAATTTCTGGAAAATAGATTCCAAAAAATATTTTTTTGGCATTTGGATGAGGCTGCGTAATTCCATTTTCGTTGTTTGATAAATTTTTCTGAAAATATTTTTTAAAATATATTTTTAGTAAAGAATACCCACATTATAAATTTTATTGATTTTTATTTTTTATTTTTATTGAGTTAATTTTATTATTATTCAAATTTAATGTCATTCATTTTTTATAATTATCAATAAAATGAATAATTTAATTTGAATGCATTATAAATACATTGTTTTTATTAATTATGAAGCTATTCCTAAATTTATTTTTTTAGTATGTTTGTCCAGCTTTCCAAAAAAAAAAATATGCTTTAAAGATAAAATTCAGGGAAATAAAAAAAATTAAGAATTGACAATAATCACAATACATTAACAAGTCATCGAATGATCAAAGAACTGATAAAAAAAATGAACTAATTTGAATTTAGTTATCCCCATCTCTCATAGCAGAGATAGAGAGCCAGAATTAAATATTGACAGTGACCGAAATATTAGACTATTTAAGAAAAATATAAAGACTTATTAGGTATTTAAACTCGAAATTCAATATGAAACAAGCGATCTTAGTGATTAAGGGATTGTTGTCATCCTTGAGGTTCCCAGTTCAAGTACGCATGTAGGGGTATGAGCGTTCATTGTCAAATAGTTGAAAGTTGAAAGTCTTTGTACATATATTACCTTATATTCACCCTAAATTAAAAAAAAACTCAAAACTCAAAATACAACTTCTAATTTGTCTAATATTTAAACTTACAATGACTTAAATTGTAATTATACCAAAAATTTGAGAACAAAGACTTATCATTCTTTAGTTCGACCCCTACTTGATTAAATATTTAATATTTTTTTATATTTTTAAATTTAAATATTTATTTTTACATAAAACCAAATATTATTAAACCAAAATTATATCGTTCCATCTCTGCGAAGAACATAGGAAGTATAAAACGTTTTACTGTTCTGTAAGACAAGAGATGCTATCAACATTTTTCTAATCAAACAAGGAAAATCCTAGGCTCCTAAGCTGTGAATTTCAAGGTTGTGAGAGTGTTTTTATTCTAATCAAACGTAAATATGTACATCCAAAAATAACATTTGCTTCATGTGCCCCCTAAAATCTTATATGACAACTTAAGCTCCTGTTTTGGTCAGCTAATTATCTTTATTTTAAAAATTAACGGTGTTATTGGCATATCATCATAAGATAATACCACATTATCATTGAAACCAAAGCACCACTTCAATTGCTCTATTAAATTTTTAATGGTACCAAAACGAAATCAAAATATAAAATAGAGAATTGTTTTGAAAGAAATAATAGTTTGATGACTAAAACAGAAAAAAAGTATAGCCGGAGTACTAAATATGTAGTTTACCCTGTTTGGCAGCAAAGATGCCTAATGGTTGAATGGGTTATATTCTTCTATTACCCTCTCTGTTTTCATCCGCCATGTTAATCACTAAAGATTTTCTGTGTTCTTCAAAGCGAATTCCAGAAAGCTCCTCTTGATGGGATCCCTTTAAACTGATGATGATAGTTTAAAGGGAATTTGGCCCATCTTCGAAGAGGCGTATATTATTTGCAGGGAAATTGAGTCGCTTCGCCTTTGATCTGTATCGACAGGCGCAGTGAATAACGTCCTGCTAAATTCCTGAAACTGCGAATTGAGATGATGAAATCTGCAGTCTGTTTGATATTGGTTTGCTCGTAACAGTGGGAAGTTTGTTTCTTCTTCTTCTTCTTCTTCTTCTTAAAGAGAAACTATGAATTTTTGGACGAAATTTAACCTTCTCAAAATAACCGATAAAATATCCCACGACAGAATGAAATCAATAAAAATCCAAAACACAATATTCGTGAATAAGATCAGATTCTTTGGGTTCGGTTGGGCTACTAGGTTCCACATGGTTCAGGCCAATGATGAACATGTAATTGTTTACCCCGAGCTCCCTATGGAGGAAGGACCAGGACCAGGTGGTTCTGGAAATCTCACGGTCCCAGAATGTTCTCTGGGGTGTGCTCCTTGTTTCATTCTATCGGCTCAAACGATGTCGATGGAAACGGTAACACTACCAGTGACCTCAAATGAGCTGAAGTGTGGTCCGGGATGTCTCCCGGAATGTGTTTCCCGATGGAACGATACTGACCTCGAGGACCCTGTATCCATATGCTATCTGAGTGAGAATAAGGGCCTTCTAATACTAAAACGAAACATGATACCGGTCGACCTGCAGTTGGAATTTCCAATTCGATGACAGAAGCCGTGAACATAGCTCGTGTGCCGAGCCCATTGTTCTGTACAGATCATAGCGAGCCATGAGTGGAACTGTTCTGAGTTCTACCTGAGATGAACTAATAAAGTTTGAGAAGTCTCATAAGAACAAGAAAAATGAAGATCCCGTCGTCTTTTGGAACCTTTTCTTATTAACAGCTTGTATATTTATGATCCCTAAATGAATAAAGAAAGAACATAAGACACAATATGCATAAATGGGACTATCAAGTAGCCTACCTTTCTCTGTTTTCGGCTTTTCGTATTTGAATCATGAATCGATGGTGCAACCCTTCTCACTCCAACATGGAATCAGAGAACTCTGGACCAGAACTGCACTTCCATGACGAATCACACCGGCACTCCTTTCACAGAATCAACAGAAACATGAGAGATCCACCCTATGCTAAAGAGCTCAATCAACACAAACATGAAATATAATCATGTGTATTGCAGCATCTGATCAGTTGAATACAGCTCTTAACTATATGTCTGGATTACACACTACCAGTTGGACCTCAAGAACGGCCCCAAAAGAGACTTGGTGAAGGGATGATCCCATTCCACTAATTCCCACCACTCCTTTGGCTTTAGATAAATACTGAGAGAGAGAGGTCCAGATGGTTGGAGATTATCAAGTTGGGGAAGACTCGAAGGCATCCTTTTTAACTTGACAATTTTCTACCCGGGTTTCTTCCAGAGTTTGACACACCAGTACTCCACCGACACCGCAAATGCTCTTCAATTCAGGTAGATCTATCAATTCCAGTTGCCTTAAGTTTGGTAGACGAAATTCCACCGTAACCATTCCGCTTTCCAACATTCACGTTCTGATGCTATTATTTCCTCTAGTTCATCACAGTTCCAAACTCTAAGCTGTTGTAAGTGTAGCGGCACACAGTTTGGAGAGAACAACTTCTTCACATTTCGACAATCAGATATTTGAAGAAATTTGAGAGAGGAAAAGTTGCCGAGTGAGACTTGGATAAACCTGGAGAAAAGGTGTTCTTCACTACAATCAAAATAGCAGTTCTTGATATACAGTTCCTTAATGTCGCGTGGAAGCATACTCTGATTGGAATAGATATTGCAACCACATAATTCAATGTATTTCCTGGAATTAAATGTCACCGCCAGTCCTCTTTCGCCTACACGAATCTGGTATTCACAAGGCTCTTCTCGATCATGTAAAGCTTGGACATACATATTTAAGTCGTGCACGTCATAAAACCGACCTTCAAGGAATTCCAACTTGTTCAATCCATGAACCTCTTCTCCTCTTATCAACGTATCACCAACGATCAGCTCTTGAAGGCAAGAAAGACTCGACAGAATTCCATTGGGGATCACAATAAGGTTCCAACTCCAACTTAGATTTAGGTACTTGAGACTCAACATATTTTTCATCCCATGAGGGACAGACTTGATATCTGTTGCTTCAAGAACCAACTCCTTTAAAACTTGAAGATTCGACAACGATGGCACCTTCTTTAGATTTAGACAGTGATAAAGTGATAACCTAGCGAGAAACTTCAAATTTGATATCGAATCGGGCAGACTCGTGATGGGATTTTTTGAAAGATCAAGAATCTTGAGTCTAGGCATATGATTGAAGAATCCATCTGGAATACTCATTATACCGCAATCTGACAACAACAGTGTCGTTAGCATTGGACATTTTGGTGGTGGCATTTCCAAGGGACACACAATTTCTAACTCCCAATTCCCCATCAATGAAACCTTCTCCAGATCCTTGCTCCACTCTTGTTCATCTGGTGGATTTGTTAATCTCATGCCAGCTTTTACGAAGAATCGAGGTTTCACGCTTGTTATGTGTAATGCCATCTCCCTTTCAAGATCATGCATCTTTACATGTCTTCCATATTTGATAAGAGTAGAAACTTCTAACAAACAATTATTCAAGAGTCTATTCATTATTGTGCAACCCCTGTCAAACTCTGCCTGCCTACTATCCATTTCTTCTACAAGTCCTTCTGCAATCCAAAATCGAATAAGAACTCTCTTTCTCTGATGCTGAAATATTCAGGATATAACGCACAACTGAGGAAACATTGTTGAATTTTTGGATCCTTTAAACGATCATGACTAAACTGCAACTGACGGAACACCTCATCTTCCAACCCAACACTTTTCTTGTAAACACTTAACTCGTTTAGTGCATTCCTCCATTCGAAAAGGTCATCAATGCCTCTCATACAAGCAGCTACAATGACTATTGCTCAGGATAGACCCGCACAACGATTAGCAATTGATTTTGCAACTGCTTCTAATACTGGAATATTTAGAATATCCACACGTACTTTATCCAAGAATAAGTTCCATGCATGCCTTTCCTCAAGAGGGTTTACTTTAATCACTTTACAACCCATCTGCCGACACACATCCAATGATCGCGTTGTCAACACTAATTTACTACCGGTACACAGGTCAGGAATTCTTATAATCTCAGAGGAAATCTTCTCCCATAGGTCATCCAAGATCATCACAAACCTACTCTTTCGAGAAAAAGTTTCAAACAACATGCTTTCCCTTGTTATTTCATCTTCATCACCGGAAAAAGTTACTCCGAGTTTACTTGAAATGTCTTTCTGTAGTTTAGGAATGCTCATCTGCTTGGATACAGTGACCCAAATCACAATATATAACTTCCCTGTCTCTTTTAAGAGTTGATTGTTTATAACCTTTCGTATATATGCTTGTTTTCCCAAAGCCACCCAACCCCCAAACTCCCATCTTCCGAACCTCATCATCCAGCAAGCATTGCCAAATCTCTTCAACATACGCCTTTGCATCTTCACCTGATAAAGTTATCGTCGACAAAACTTGTCCAATCCGTTAAGGATTGTCAACAACCAAACCTTCATGGAATTTACCTTGTTGAATAAGTTATTCAACTTCCCTTATCCTCTTTAACACATCATCCGCGAAAACATCCACGAGTAAGAGCTCGGCACAAAGATGAATCCCACCATTAACTGAATTATATTTAACAGAATAGAGACTCAATGGCGAGATTGTTAGGATCTAGTTCTCATTTCCTTCACTTTAATTTTACAATCCAAAAAATAGAAATCCCTTTAACGATATCTAGGATAGTTTAAATAGAAATTTTAATTTATATTCTTTTCTTTAAAATATTTTAACTTTTAACATTTTAAATTTTTATTAAAATAAATAGATATAAACTATTAATTAATCAATGATAACACATATCATTGATGTAATACTTTCAGATATATTAAATTACTAACGTGATATATATTACGTTATTCAAGATGATACTGTGATAAGTATATCACATTATTTAAGGTGAAGATATGAATATGTCAGATCACTTAAAACGATGATATGTCATATATCACGTTATTTAAAATAAATAATACAATACGTGTCACATCAATAATTAAATGATATGACATATATATCATCATAACGAGGGCATGTAGCGTAATTAACTCAAAATTTAAATATATTTCAATTTATGGTTTTCGAAATATTAAAAAAAGAAAAAGATAAAAAATGGTAGCCTAAAAGCTTAAGAAGAGCAAAATTTTACGTTATACTCTCAAATAATCACCACTCTTTTTGACGTCCCTCATGCATCCTTCTTCACCTTTATCTCTTCCAAGCTTCCCAACAAAATCTATGGATTTCATGATTTTCTTGAATTAAAGAGGATTTGCAGGTCCCCTGCTTTTGTCCATTTTTCTCATTTCTTCTCTTCCAATTATTCTCTCGAACATGAAATCCATCTCCAATTCCTTGTTTTTCGCACTCTGTTGTTGTTGTTCCTTCACCATGAACACGTTTCATGTTCTTGCAGAAAATGGCCCCGAATCCGAACCCGTGGCTTACGTCCTTTCTTGCGGCGGCGAAGACGGCACCGATTCCGACGGACGAAAATGGATTCCCGACCAAAAGTTTCTATCTTCATCCGAAAGAAAGATGATACGGAAGCCGCCGCGGCTCAATTCCAGGACCCTTCTTTGCCATCGACAGTTCCATACATGAATGCTCGGATTTTCCGATCATCGTCGACGTCGTACAAGTTCCCGATCTTTACGAACAGTCGCCTATGGCTTCGGCTCCATTTTTACCCCACTACTTACGCCAACCTCGACCCTTTCGGCTCGTATTTCTCCGTTTTCGCCAACGGGGTCACGCTTCTTCATAACTTCAGCGCGGCCGTGACCGCAAAAGCGTTCACACAGGCATATATATTAAGGGAATTCTCTTTGACGTCGACCGGATCGGGCAATCTCAACGTTACGATCACTCCCGGTAAAGAGTCATATGGTTTCATCAATGGCATTGAAGTGATCCCTATGCCTGATATATTCAACCGGCCTGCTGTTCTTGTTGGATATAGTAGTGAGACTCTTGATCTGCAAAGCTCAAATCTGCAAACGATGTTCCGGTTAAACGTAGGCGGACAGTTCATCACACCGAACAACGATTCTGGCCTTACTCGAGCATGGTACGACGACTCGCCGTATTTGTTCGGTTCCGCCATTGGTGTCACTTCTCAGGCCGATAAAAAGGTTAAGATTGAATATACAGAGGATGTAAAGGAAGACATTGCCCCGGTTGGTGTGTACAGTACGGCGCGGTCGATGGGACCGGATTCGAAAGTTAATCAGAAATACAACCTTACTTGGATCTTTCAGGTTGATGAAGATTTCACATATGTTGTCAGGTTACATTTTTGTGAGTTTCTGCTTACCAGAATCAATGAAAGAGTGTTTGATATTTTTCTTAACAATCAAACAGCACAACTTGGGGCTGATGTGATTGCATGGTCTGGCTCTCTGGGCATGCCGGTTTATAAAGATTATGCAATCTATGTTCAAAATGGGACCAATGAGATCTGGGTGGCATTGCATCCCGACGAACGTTCTAGGCCGGAGCGTTACGATTCGATCCTTAACGGATTGGAGATTTACAAAGTTAACAACACGAAAGATAATTTGGCCGGTCCGAATCCGGTGCCGTCGGAAATGCTTACTAATGCCGAAGCGGCGGAGAAACAGTTTGCAACAACGGAATCTAAAGTTGGAAAACTGATTGGTGGGGTTGCTGGAGGGGTTGCTAGTTGTGCTTTAGTGGTAGCGTTGGTTGTTTTTGTTAAGAAAAAGAAGCATAATGTTGGTCCTGGCAAAACCGTCAACCCGTTGCCTGATTACGGAAGTTCCCGTAAATCGGGAACGACCGGGAAACCGAGTACCGGAAGCCACCTTATGAATATTGCCGCCGGTCTCTGCAGGCATTTCTCGTTGTCGGATATAAAAAATGGAACCAAGAACTTCAGTGAATCACATGTTATCGGTGTCGGAGGATTCGGCAAGGTTTATAAAGGTACTATAGATGGAGGGACTAAAGTTGCTATCAAAAGATCAAACCCTTCTTCGGAACAAGGCGTTCACGAATTCCAGACCGAAATCGAGATGCTCTCGAAGCTCAGGCACCGGCATTTAGTCTCGTTGATCGGATTTTGCGAAGAAGACGGGGAGATGATATTGGTGTATGATTATATGGCTAATGGGACATTAAGGGAACATTTGTACCGGACTAATAAGCCTCCCTTGTCTTGGAAGCAAAGATTGGAAATATGCATTGGAGCTGCTAGAGGACTTCATTATCTTCACACTGGGGCAAGGCATACCATCATACACAGAGATGTTAAGACTACAAACATTTTATTAGACGAGAATTGGGTCGCGAAAGTTTCCGATTTTGGACTATCGAAAACCGGTTCGAATCTTGACCAAACTCACGTAAGTACAATGGTGAAAGGTAGCTTCGGTTACTTGGACCCTGAATACTTTCGTAGACAACAACTGACCGAAAAATCCGACGTCTACTCCTTTGGAGTAGTCCTGTTCGAGGTATTGTGCGCAAGGCCAGTACTGGATTCGAGCTTGGCGAAAGAACAAGTTAGTCTGGCCGATTACGCTCAGCATTGCCAAAGGAAAGGAACACTCCATCATATCATCGATCCACATCTCAAGGGAAAGATTAACCCGGAGTGCCTTAAGATATACACGGAGATAGCCGGAAAGTGTTTATTGGATCAAGGGATCGATCGGCCTTCGATCGGCGACGTGCTTTGGAACCTCGAGTTCTGCCTTCAATTGCAAGAAAACCCGGGAGGAGTCGAAGTGGCTGAAGATAAGGCCAATGATGCTTATGAGACACATACATCAACGATCTCCGTCTATGAAGAGACAGCTAACAAAGAAGTCGATTCGACCCAATCGAATCCTTTCTCAATGATGGTGGATCTCAAAGGAAGATGATACATATGCTACTCCGACCCGACCCCGAGTTCCGTATGTTTGAACAATCATATCCGTATCCATGTAAAAACATCTCGGATACGGATATAGATGTTAGATATGAGTATTTTAAGAAAAATGGATCAAACTCTACTAGGCTCTTGAATCAGTGACTGAATTGTTCCTCAGACAAACATGTTCCTTTTTTTAAAAAAAATGTACATTGAATACTAGAACATTTAACCCTAGAAATGACCAAATTTAATCACTAATGAATGGATGAACGTGAAGAGAGAGAAAGCCGAGAAACCGGGGAATCTGAAATACTTCGTTTTCGCATTTGATCAATGACCAAATTGTAACAAGTCAATAACGTAAATGATCGAAACATAATCTTTTAAATTCCGATGATGAAAAATTGAACAAAATTGAAACAAAAGTGACTCTAACGTTAGATTACCCTATACTCGCACAATTAGGAAAAACAAAAAGAAAAACTCTAATTCCATCTTTTCTCACCATGAGAGTCAGTCGTCAATCGTCATAAGAGGGTTGAGGACGAACTTTGACTGCACTAATCCATTGATGGAGGTTTAACACGACGCGCTGCTCAATCTTAGCTAGCAGACAACGAAGAAGAATCACATCATCTTCTCTTTAGTTTCTCTCTCTCTTTCCCTTCGATGTATTCAATGATTGGTTTATAATTTCGAATGATTTGAACCCAACCATAAACTAATTAAATTAGCTAGGGTTGTTGGGTTTAAAATGTTGTGTTTGGATTATATTTTTCATGGTATTTTAATTTATTTAGATGTTTATTCAACATTTATGTTCCATTGTGAGTTAAGTAGTTTAAACATAAATGTTTGATTCTTATTTATTACTTCATTTAATTTATATTAAAATTCTTACTAGTTATGTCTATTTGCTTAATTGTTATCTTGTTTCCGAATCGTTATCTTATTTGGTTTTCCTTGGTACATTCTGAGATGAAAGATTAATGATTTGAGATTTTGATAATTGATTAAGGCATGCATGAAGACAAGCATCGAATAAGTGAGGGAAAATTTGATGAATATTTTATTTGGTTAATGTTTTATTATTAATTAATCCGTGTTAACTCCTTTTATAGTGCTAATTTGGGTTATTTATGTTCGAATTTGTGATGGACTCTATTTTCTAAGAAACAACAATTAAAAGGTGAATTAAAGAGATTTTCCTTTTTTTTTTGGGAGAAGCTGACGCCAACTCTGTTTAGAAGATCAATCCAAGCACAATTCTTTAGGAATTAAAAGCTGTAATTAAATTCAAACATCTTAGATTTTATTATTTTGCTTAGGATTTTAATTATTTATTTTAGGATTTTTAGTTTACTATTTATTAGGAATTTAAGTGTTTTAATTTTCTTGAGGATTAGTAATTTATTTTCATTAGGTTTTCTCAAGATATAAATACCCTTCAGGGTGAAGCTTGACGGAGGTAAAAGTTTAGAATTCAGTATAGAATTAGTTCTG